TGTTTTTCATTCTTCTATAAGTCGATTAGATCGATCGGGTGAGTCATATTTCACTTTTATTTTCATTATGCAGTCATTTCTTTCATTTAGTGAACATTGGCCTTAAGTAAATATAGAGAACAGTTCATATATTTTCAACAAATTATTACGATGCATCAATCGAGTCCTTCAATATTTGTTTTTCACTTTTATATTGGACTATTCAAGTTAGTTGGTAATGACTTTTTATAGATGCTTAACGGAATACCCTTATTTGCACTGTGTTTTACGTTTGCAGGAGTTATGCGGCACGGCTAATCGTTTTTTTGGTACTCCTCATTTCATTCATAAGTTTGTCATTGAGTTTAGTGATGAGTGACTCTCCAAAACGGTTTCAATGCATGTTTGCTCTTCTAACTTTTTTATACTTTTCTGTCAATCATCGAGATTAATTTCGTGAGTCATGTTTCACTTTTCGTTTCATTGTTGATTCATTCCTTTCATTTAGTGAACACTGCCTTTCAGGAAATATTCACAACAGTTCATAACTTATCAATTAATTACTACGATCCTTTAAGATGGTTCAATTTATTCTTTTTGATTCCATGGGTGAGTATTGAACTTAGTTAATAAAAACATTTAAAAGATATCGAGAACAATTCGTGTCTGTACACTATTTTTTCAGTGTTTATGAATTATACGACGTCGCCAACGTTTTTATTGTACAGACTGTTTCTTTATTTAGTCTGTGATGTAGTTTATTGGTTAACAAATTTCGACGATGATTCCTACGAATTTGCTACTTTTATAATTCTTTTACGTTTTTCTATAAAACGTCGAGATCGATCAGGTGAGTCATATTTTACTTGTATGTTAATTGCTCAAGCTTCTCTTTCGTTTTCTTGCCATTAACTTTGTGGAAATATTGTGAACAATTAACATTTCGCGCATTGGTTATTACGGTGGTTCAATCGAGTTATTCAATATGTTTTCTTTTATTGTATTGGTGAGTATCGAATTTAGTCAGCATAAAGACTTTAACCATATTGAGAACGATTCTTGATTACATAGTGGTTCCTACGTTTGCATGAATTATGCGATGCCGCCAATCTTTCTTCGTATTCATCATTTCTTTCTTTAGTGTGTGATCCACTCTATCGGTGAATAACAGTTCAAAACGATTCCGCTGAATTGATTGCTTTTGTCATTGTGTTATGTTTTCCTATCAGTTATCTAGATGGATCAGGTGAGTCATACTTTACTTTTATTATTAACGCTCAAGAAGTCATTTCTTTCATTTCGTGAACATTAGCTTTCAGAAAATATCGAGAACAGTCGTATCTGTTCAAATAATTATTATGATCCATTAATCGAGTCGTTGCACACTTTTATTATTGTATAAGTGAGTATGCAATTTAGCTACTAAAAACATTTCATAGATATTGGAAGTATTCATTTCTTTGCATTGCGTTTTGGTTTTGTATTGGCATACGACCCCGCGAATTTGTTTTTCGTATTGATCTTTTCTTTCTTTAGTCTGTGGTGCATTTTATTGGTCAACAACTTTCCAAAAACGATGCTGTTGAATTAGTGGCGATTATGATTATTTTCAATTTTCTACGAGTTATCTTGATTGATCAGGTGAGTCATGTGTCACGTTTATTATTAATGCTCAGTCATGTCGTTCGTTCAGTGAGCATTAACTTCAGGGAAATATTGATAACAGTTGATATGTGAAGTATTGGTTGTTAGGATCCATCAACCGAATCCTGCGTTATACATTTTTTTAATTCTATGAGTGAGTATCCGATTTAGTTTATAAAACGGTTTGATAGAGGTTGATAAGATTTGTTCCTGCCACTGTTTCACTTTTACATGAATTATAAGACGCCGAGAATCTTTTTTTCCTATTGAGCGTTTCTTTTTTTAGCCTGTGGTGCAGTTTATTTGTCAACAACTTTCCTAAACGATTCCAATGAATTAATTTCTATTGTAATTGTTTTCAATTTTCTATACGTTATCTAAATCGATCAGGTGAGTCTGATTTTGCTTTTCTCTTTTAGTTCTCAGGCATTTATTTCGTTTAGTGATATTAGCTTCATGGAAATATGGATACAGTTTATGCCTCCTCCATTGATTATTACAATTATCATCAATTGAACGTTCGTTGTATATATTCTTTTGATTCTATAGGTGAGTATCCGATTTAGTAACTAAAAATATTTCAGAGAGATTGAGAAGAAATCATTTCCTTGCACTTTGCTTTACTTTTACGTGAACTATGTGACGCCGCGAATCTTTTTTTGTATTAATCGCTTCTTTGTTTAGTCTGTGGCGCAGTTTATTGGTCTGCAACCTTCCAAAAACGATTCCGATGAATTAATTACTATTGTAATTGTTTTCAGTTTTCTACATGTCATCTAGATTGATCAGATGAGTTGTGTTTTATATTTATTATCTATGATCAGTCATGTCTTTCGTTTAGTGAACATTAACTTCCTGGAAATATTGAGAACAATTTACAAGTGGTGCATTGGCTGTTAGGATTCATCAATCGAATCGTTCGTTATACATTTTGTTTGGATTTTATGGGTGAGTATGCGATTTAGTTACTAAAAACATTTGACAGAAATTGAGAAGAATTCGGTTTTTTACACTTTATTTTACTTTTACATGGCTTATGCGACACCACGAATTCTTTTTTCCCATTCATCGTTTCTTGCTGTAATCTGTGTCCCATCTTTGGGTTTACCACATTTGTTGAACTTTTTTCCCGCTGCAGTCGTTCATAAGTGATGGGTCTCATCGATAAGGCGTTCGTAACCCGAGTGCTGAGCTCTTTCATTCTCTGTGTTCTGCACTTTTGATGCTGTTACTTTTATAGTGATTGGCATAGTTTCATCACTGCTTTGCGAATTACTATTCCTGTTCGTTACTCTGAATCACCTTTCGATCAGTCTATCTGCAGTTGAAGAAACTAATTGACCCTTTCCACTACCCTTCGATCAACTTATCTGCAGTTGAGAAAACAAATCAACCCTTTGAACTACCCTGTGATCAACCTGTTGGTAGTTGAAGAAACTGATCAATCCTCTGAACTACCCTGTGATCAACCTTTGGGCAGTTGAAGAAACTGATCAACCCTCTGAACTACCCTTCGATCAACCTTTTGGGCAGTTGAAGAAATTGATCAACCCTTTGAACTACCCCTCGATCAACCTTTGGGCAGTTGAAGAAACTGATCAATCCTCTGAACTACCCTGTGATCAACCTTTCTTTAGTTGATTGATCTAATAAACGCTTTCTAGTAGCTTTACTGAAGGTATTTCGTCTTCATATACACTTTTATAAACGAATATATGTGTTGAAATGAGTTGGTTTATAAATTTCATCTACCCTTGATGAGGGTTTATGAAAATGCAACCTGTGATATACCCTTTTAGAGTTCTTCAGTCGTATAAACGGTTTGACAAACCTTTCCACGCTCGGTATATTAGCTTGATAAACCCTTTTATTTAGTCTTTTGATGGGTAGATAAAAGGGTTTCTCACATCCTGATAAACGGTCAAAAAGGGTATATCACAGGTTGCATTTTCATAAACCCTTTAAGAGTTTATCATTACCCGTATTTTTTTATCAGTGTTGTGAGTTATAACATATGCTACCGCTTAAATCGAGAAGATTTGAACAAGACGACACAGGTTGAATATAGGTTTCGATTACGAATATGTTTCTAATCAAGACCCAAATGCTGTTCGCACCCATTTCAGATAAAGCTCAAGCCAAAACATATTTTTTAATCGCGGTCACTATCCAGAGAGTCCGAACGTGACTTAATTGAAATTGGATATCATTTGTTTTAGAGTCGACCATTGCATTCCTCATGATTAAATGAGTTTGTGCTATAAATTCAGCTCAAACAGATGAAATTTCGAGGGAATATGTGCGAATCATTTTCGTTTTTTATGACAGTTGTAGTCGACAATGTTGTATTGAGTTTTACGCGAGATTTGTAAGGCGTCTTTGGAATGCCACATATAGGATTTTGTAGAGCAGATCCCGGGCTACCAAACTCACTATGCCGCATACTGCTGTAATATAGCCATTTTGAGTTATAGCGATCGACTTTCTACACATGAATATCCAACCACAAAAACAAAAAATCTTCGAGATTTTTTTTTTGGCATATTCCAGTTTGTAGAGCTCAGCTCGCTGATCATTTTGGGCAAAACAAATTCCTACTTTCATCAAGAAATAACGATGATATGGTCAAAATACTGAAAAAAGTGAGGTAGAAAAAGCTTGTCAAAACTATTTTACGGTTTTCAGTATTTTGACCCTACTATCGCTATTTGTTGACGAAAGTAGAAAACAAAATTTACCAAAATGATCAGCGTAAAAATCTCTACAAACTGTGATACACCAAAACATTTTCTGAGATCTTTGTGTTTTTTGTGGTTGACTACCCATGGAAGTACCCACAAATCTAAACTCGCAGAAGATATCGCATCTAAAAATACTTTTGTTACGTTATTATTTCAATTTTAAAATATCATACGTAACTTTATATCGATGTTTTTTTTTTTACTCTAGCTAAGTCAATAGTATTGATAAAACACAGCATCGATTACCTCCCAAGACTTTATGGTACTGACCTACCACCACACACGACCTCCTACTTACGCCTCTATAGCAAACATAAATTAAAGTTTTGATATGATCCATAATCGTACATGATTAGTATGAGCTCAAAAAATGGAGCATTGAATAATCTATAATATGGATACAGACAGCTTCTATTATAGATCATATTAAACAGCGAAATATTTCTATCAGACCAAGGGTCATAGTAAAAAAAATCGAATTCTTTAATAATACATATGAAATAATATATTAATAAAGTATATAGTCTGGTTCCACACTGTCCTTATACGTTATTATCTATTTTCTCAATTGATTGAACTTATCCTAGATAAGAATGTAAACTGTTTGTCTTGTTTTCTTGAATAACGTTAGCTATAATGTATGAATTACTGTTTACAATCAACGGTACACTATGATTAAGCGAAATTAGACACACGTTCCTCATATAACTTGTTCAGAAAGTCCACCATCTTGGTTATTGGCAACATCAAAGTAAAATAATTAATAGGATTTGTTTATTATTCGTTTAATTTTTAATATTTTTTTAGACGTTTACTATTTGTAACTGAAATATCATTTCTTGGTTTATATAAAATCGATTGGGAAATACTTTATGAAGAATTAAAAGAAGAACCAATTATAAAAATAAATACAAATCAAATTCAAATTTTAACAAAAGTAAGTAAAGACAGGAAAAACAAATATCTAGAATAAAGTCAAATCCTCTTTACTATAAAAAGCAATCAAGAGAACATCATCATCATCATCATCTGTTGTAGAGGACATTGTTTATGTGAGACTAATCCTAATTTCGATTTTCTCTAGTTGATTCAAAAGCTCAATAAAATTTACGAAATGAAATTTCATCTGATTTTATTTATATTTTTTAGGAACCGAAAACAACTGGAACTATAGGATCACATCAATCATTTGGAAAATTAGTTAAATTTATCACTCTAGACTCTATCCGATGCTAAAGTAAGTTAAATGTTGTTTATTTATTTTTATTATTTCTTTATTTGATTATATTTTAGTATATTGTCGATAAAATTCGATAAAATTGCAAATGCGATGCATATTGTGGGTCTTTAAAAACTTATTTAGTGTGCTTTATTATTTCATTTCACTCACTTATGATTTAATAGTTTAAGGATTTAAAAGAGTGGGCGTGGATCTGCTCTTCCCCCACACCCACACCCTCAAGTGAATTCACATCGTGGTGACACTGATCATATTCAAAATTCTCGATAATACATTCGGATCTTTTGCGGAGAGAAGCATAAGATTCAGCGCATATTTTCATAATCATATGCATAGTTTGAAATGAAAGTAAATAAAAAAACAATGGTCGTTCGTATTCAAATCAACTTCAATGCTACATAGAGAGACAATCAAGTATACTGTAATTAGTCTTTTTATTTGTCAAGATTGTCACATAATCAAACAAAGCAATTTTATGTACATTTCGTCCGCTTTTCTTCTTGATAATCATTGTTCATTACATGCCAACGTTTTTTCAGCTTCGACAACAACATTCGGTAATACTTGTTCAGCGAGTAGTTGCACAGTACTCTTCCCGTTTGATGTTGACATACATGTTGAGATCAGCAGCGTAAATAGGNGGGCCGGTCCCCCCAAAGATATTTAAATCTCTGGAGGGGGGTACAGACTAATTATTTTTTAGAAGCTAAAAAATCAAAAAAAGTGCCTATTCTTCCATGGCGACCCCCCCTCTAAATAATTTCTGGCTACGCCACTGCGAAGAAGTGCAGGATCGATCTGTTCAGAATGATTGGTGGTCATGATAAGGATGCGTGAAGGTTGCTCGATGATTCCATCAATAAGATTGAGCAGAAACGACAATGTCAATGGATCATTGGGAACCGTTTTATCGTCATCTGCAATTCAAACAAAGCAAACAAATGAATAGCTTATAGTTTTTAGAAAACTAATTCAATATTTCTTTTTGAACTGCAATAATTTGCTCCTATAACGGATGATATCTTTCGAGAACAAATTACAGAATATTGTCTAACGTTGGTGGATTGCTTCTCTCACCGTTTCAAAAAAAACACTATACAATCGGTCGTTCAAGAAATCAATTATGTACTAACCTAATACGGTGCGCAATGACTGCTTGGACATTTTCTTTGTTTGTGCGTCGATATCGACCTGTTCGAGAGGAATAACGACGGCATCGCCTTCGACTGATGTCACTGGATCCGGCGTTGTTGTTGTTATTGTAGATCGTTTTTTAATGAAATGTGACACTACAGAGAAATATTAAACAATCTTTTTTTACAACTGTCAAGTCAATAGCTTACTGCAGTCGATATCTTCAAAGACAATGATTTTTTTTCTTGAAGTCCAAATCAGTCTTATCATACGAATCCAAAAAGAAAGCTTGCTTGAGTTCGTCGCATGTACGAATGCGCGAAAGTGAAATTTCGACGAGATGCCGTTTAGTGTAAGAAGCGATTGCTTCGATTATTGACGTTTTTCCACAGCCTATACGGTAGAATAGAAAAACAAATCCACTCTTCTTCCTCAACATTTTTATATGTTGTAGAAAGCTCTGGTTGCATATGATCGGATTTTTACTATTCTACTCATTTTCTTAGACAAAGTTCTCGCAGTTAGAGAATATGTATTATCGCATTGAAGATTTTCATGGAAAATTAGCGTGAAACAAACGGCTCCAATGGAAAAAGAACGGGTGTTTTTTTAGCTTGAAATCTTCTATTGTGGTAACATACTGAAGGTAAATTAGTTGAATTACATAAAAGTCAACTTACCAGGTGCTCCATAAAACAAGAGGCCAAGAGAGTGAGCGATACCTCGCTGTTGGTAAAAGCTCGGATTGTCGAGAAAAAAATTCAGACGATCGATTAGCGCCTGTTTGCCTTCGAAAAAGAGATTATCGAATGATTTCGACGTGGAAAAAAAGATGCTTGCTGAATTCGATACGAGACTTTTGACTTGGAGCACCAAACATTTGAATATACGTAAAATGATAGAAATTTCCTAGAAATAAAAGATATTCTTAGGATTGTTCATATATATTTATATATATATTCGTTTATTATATTCATAACGAAAGTAACAATAAACGAAACTAATAACGAAACGATAACCGACGATAACGATAAACTATCAACAATAGATAAACGAACGACATAGCCGCTCCGCTTGTCANTTTGACTTGGAGCACCAAACATTTGAATATACGTAAAATGATAGAAATTTCCTAGAAATAAAAGATATTCTTAGGATTGTTCATATATATTTATATATATATTCGTTTATTATATTCATAACGAAAGTAACAATAAACGAAACTAATAACGAAACGATAACCGACGATAACGATAAACTATCAACAATAGATAAACGAACGACATAGCCGCTCCGCTTGTCACGGAGACGACTCGATACTCCACTTCCACTTCTATATAAATTAGATCATCGATTGATATTTATATATACTTCGATAGCGAATTAAATATAAAGAGAAAAAGGAAAATAGTATAGAGGTTATTGGGACGATAGCTACCGTCCCATAACATTCCTCCCCACAAACAAAAACAAAAAGAAGTGTGTCCTCACACTTGGAATTCACAAACACCAATATCATTAGCGTGGAATTTCGTGTGAATATAAGAGCACAGGCCAATGCAGGATCGGTACACACATACCAAATGTCAGCAACCATTAACAAGCAACGAATCATTATGAATCGATTTTTTTTGACGAACGCTTACGAGCGACGTTTTTATTTTTATTTACGAGCGATTGGTTTTCGAGCAATTACTGTTTTAGAGTAATTGGGTTTTTACAAGCGAATAATGATGATATTCATTATGATTGACTGTTAATGTTCGATACATTAAGTTTTCCTGCGTGTTAGGACGACATTTAACAACTAGTCGACGGAAGATCCTGAATACAGAATGTCCCCACACACGAGCGAAAGACCACACAAAAGAACGAACGAAAGAAATCACATCCGTACAAACATGAACAGAAGAGGTAATCATAGAAAGAAAGAAAAACGAATAGCGGAAAAATCATACACATACGAACATGGAAAGTAGGGATAGTTGGAATAGTAAACAGAAAACGAGCGAAAAATAAGCACATGCTCGTATGAAGAGAGTAGTTAACCGCAGTAGAAGAACATAAAGAACGAACGAAAAATCACATATATGAGCATGAAGAGAGAGAGAGAGAAGGAATAGCCATAATAAAGGAAGAAAACACCATCACAGCAAGAACACAAATGAAAAGAAATAAAGTCAGTATAACTTTAGAAAAAACGAAGAAGGGACCAGTATCATCAGAAAGAAAATGGAAAACAACGCACAAACTTGATAAACTATATAATAGTGAAAAGCGAAAAAATATTAATCATGTGAGACAAAGTGAATTGCCACACATGTACAAACCAGATACAGAAGAGAGAGAAAAAAAAAGCATCTTACCGATGTTGTGTGTTAATTTTGTTTTTAATAAATCGAACGGTACAATTCCATCGCAAATATCCGTTCACAAATCGGTCAGTGTAATTTAATAATACGAATTAGAGGATCTGGATGGATCAGTCCTGAGAACAGGATTTTCCAACTAATGATATGTATAGATGACAAATATACATATATTAGATAGCCTCGTTGATTTTGTTTATGAGGACCGGGTTACGGCACCATTGTTAGGATTGTTCATATATATTTATATATATATTCGTTTATTATATTCATAACGAAAGTAACAATAAACGAAACTAATAACGAAACGATAACCGACGATAACGATAAACTATCAACAATAGATAAACGAACGACATAGCCGCTCCGCTTGTCATGGAGACGACTCGATACTCCCTTCCACTTCTATATAAATTAGATCATCGATGGATATTTATATATACTTCGATAGCGAATCAAATATAAAGAGAAAAAGGAAAAGAGTATAGAGGTTATTGGGACGATAGGTACCGTCCCATAACAGATATTATACATGACAGGTTTGATCTAATGTTTGTGGTATGAAGACAAATATCAATGGAGAAATTGATTTCTTGGAATAAATGCGAGAATCTTTCTAAAAATTGAATTTTCCAGAACACTTCTATACAGCACTCACCTTCCCTAGTGAAAGTACTCGCCCAGCGAGTACGACTTTGCAGCATGAGTACTCAGATTACTCGAGTGAGTACTCGATGAATTTTATGTGTAACTATACTTTTCGTGTACTATGACGAGTACTCCAATGAGTTTTCTCTCTAAGAATTACTCGTACACGAAAATACGAGTACTCGAGGTAGTACTCATCGTCGTTTTTCAGACGACATTCAACAAAACATCTATGCACTAGGATGCATAAAAATAAAACAATATTGCGTAATTAAGAACAACTATATAATGAAACGAAAATTACGAAAGAACTCTTTAAATAAACTATCAATCGTACCGGTCATATTTTGTGATGAGTCACTGATGTGGCTTAATCAATTGGCTATTTAAAGAATAGAAAAAACAAATTCATTTCATTTCAGCTATTCGTTTCTCGAGTAAGACCAAATATTTATTTGAAAATATAAAATTATGTGTTAAATTTGATGTCTTAAGTCAAATATGAAATATCATTTTAGATAAAATAAAATTTTTTTCTGAAAATTAGTGAAACACAAGACGAATGAGAAAAATTTTCCAAAAACATGAAATTCAATATTCTGAAGAAGCATCTATCATACAGAAGACAGTTCACGCATTTTTTTATTTTTTACTTAACGATTATAGTTTTCGATTTAAAATGTTCGTATGTTTTGTAACGATCTAAAGTGAGCGTGTATTGTTATCGCGTATCTTAATTTGATCCCTAATTTATTTCTCATTTGTGTTTGTGTTTGTGTTTACATATGTTGTAGTGTTCTTAATACAGCTTTTTATTCATTTTTTCTTACATTCTGTGGATAAATGTTTTATCTCTATGTCATAATTAAACAAATTTTAAGACGATGAAACACTTCGTTTCTCAGATTCTTATCATGTAACTCACTGCTCTATCATTAGTTTTTGAATTAAATAAATTGAACGCAGTAAAATGATGATGAACAAAATATTTGTATGAGTATTTTACGACAAACCCACCATAGTACTCAGAAAATGTATGATGAGTACTCACAAAACACTCGATTTTACAAGACGAGTACTTAATAGTCGTACTCAGATACTCAGAGCCTAACACAAGTACTACTAATGAGTACTCAAATCCCCGAGTACTCATGAGAACTCGCGGCATTTTCTAGCGTGAGTACTTTTTGAGTACTCGCTGGATGAGTACATTCACTAGGGTTTATTCTTATCTTTGATATAATCTCGATAAGTCACTGTCCATTCGACCACAATTGCTTTGAGTTGCTTCAATGTTAGTCTGTACGAATAGAGTGTAATTTTGTAATGAAGTATACCTATGTGCTGGTGTCCAAATATACGGTCCTTCGCATCAGGCGTGTCTCTCTTCTCGATGTGAAGATAAATGTTGGGTGCAATCAGAAGATCTTGTTTGCCCGTGGTTGTAATGAAATAATTCATCAATTCGTCTAGATAATCGTCTCTGTTTGTGCTGTGTCTATTGATGTGGATGAGTTTGGCTGACCATACATTCACATCCGTCGTATGAAGATGATGCAGAAGACCAAAATATTCTTCGGGTACCTATTCAGGAAAAGTTTTGAAGTTTATTTTTTCAAATACAATTTGAAATCATTTTTGCAAAGATAGTTCAAATGTTCCTTTCTATTTCAACGAATATCTTACAATCGTAGTGGGTTTGTTTTATGAATACCAATTTCTCACTTTACAAAACATTTATGCTTGCTACCTGCATTCTGATGTCCAGAGAATGGCTTGGATTAACAATAATATTGATTGAATATCTAGCCTTGAGTCGTCGCCAAGTTATAGAAGTCAGGAACAATTGGAATTTGTCCATCGCATAGGTACAAGATTTGCTGACACATGTCAAGCAGAAAAGAGCGATTATAATGAGCCAACAATCGTACCAAATGTTGCCCGTTTTGATGTTTACAATGAGCGGCTGAATAACGTAGTATGACAGATCCATGATTGTTGGAAAATTATTTTACTGAAGACTGTATCATATTCGATGCTTTTTTATAGCCTAAGAAGGGAATGTTCGACATTGTTTTAGATATAAAATTTGTTAATTGGATAACAAATAGCTGCCGAATTAAAGTTATTGTTTTCCCTGACGGATGTAAGAGGAAATTTGTCCGGATCGGTTAACTATTTTTCGAGTATACATATCTCCATCGCCGCCGTCTGAAAAGCATTTTTTCTAAGTGAAATTTCTTTTTTTCTTGTATAACAATTTATTTGGTGAACCTCTAAAAAATTGGATTTTTAAAATATGAGCTCATGTTGAAGTGAAGACTGCATGTAAATAGATCCTGTTTTCTTTGAATAAATTCTCAATCAACTAATTAAACAAATTTTTTCTTTATATATATAAATCAATTATAGATTTGTAAAGAAACTATTGAATTTCGGATAAGTATAATTACTTGCAAATCTTTCATGAATAGTTTTTAACTAAAGTGGTTTTGTGCAGCACGACCTAAAAAAAACTATTGAAGTACAGAATGAGAAGTTTGAGCTGCTCTTCCTACGTTATTATGTGATCATGTTGATGTGAATACATATTTTGATATTTTTTTGACCAAATATAAAACAAATTTCTTCTCTATTTTAGTACATTCATTGTGCATATGTATATATATATTAATTTTATTTAAACAATAACTGAAAATAATCATTTAAATGTTTTGAAAATCGAGAAATATTATTCGTACCAGAGATGCCGAAAAAATCACTTTTCCCAACCCGAGGGTTGACCCTACCGCAGCAGATAGAGCAATGGGTGGGTTTCAACCCAATTTTTATTTTTAATTCAGCGAATGGGTCATTGGGTTGGGTTGAGCAGGTCAACCGAACCCGCCGGGTAACCCATTGGGTTAACCCTGGTTATAATGCATTTCAATTCTCTGTTATGTGTAAAAATTTCACACTGCTGATAGAGGTCTATAGCTATCAACAGATTTCGATTGTATTTGTGAACGAAATCATTTTCATTTGAGCGAATAAATTCACCAATAAAAATACACTAAAGAGTTATCATCCATTTCGTTTGTATATAATAAAATATTAATCGCATCTAAAATATCATTTAAAAGTAGTGTCATTAAACAAAATTGTACTGATCGGAAATCGGTATCTATATAGTGATTTATTTCTCTAATATATTGAAAACAGCAGTGATGACTTCCAAAAGTTTTAATTTTTTTAAGTCAATGTAAAACTAAAATAAAAACTAATAGCTCAACAGGACTGACCCGAGGCAGCAAACATTGGGGGTTTGTGTCGGATTTTTCTAATAAGAGTACCAATTTATTCTAACAGAACGTAACAAAAAAGTTTCGGCTCCGCTGAAAAAACCAAAAGTTTTCGATTATTCGGGGTTGTCACAAGCCCCGATCGGGCCAGCCCTGTAGCTCAACCAACATGGCGTACTAATGTAAAGTTACGATGGAAATCGCTCGAGATGTATTCTGAACAACAGGAATCGAAGAATATAGAAGGCAAAAAAAGATCTAGTAAAGAAGATAGTGAAATCTACCTCGATAGCAGAAGGACAACAAGAGACATGAAACAGAGAAGAGAAGGGAAGAAGAAAGTAGAAGATTACAAGAAAGAGATATAAAACAGAGATCATAAGAAGATACAATCCGATTCTTGTCTGTTACGTTTGACTATGCGATTAAATCAATGATAAATATGGAAAAGATGATTCATAGCCTATGTTGTGTTATAAAGAAATCTGCATAAAAAATCCTTTTTGTGAATGATTTTACATTATTCATGGGTTAACCCAAGGGTAACCCGAGGGTTCGCCGATTGGGTTCATACGTTAAGCTTGACCGATGGGTCCGGGTTTAAAATTCTCAAATTACCGGAGGACTACATTGGGTTGGGTTGGGGTTGACCCATGGGTCACCCAGCCCGGTGGGTAGCGGTGATGACCCAACCCATCTGGCATCTCTGGATTATATGTCTTTAACTTATATTTTGAATACGTAATTGTTCTCTTTTAGATATCCAAAATCACAAGATTATATTATTATAACAAAAGCTATATTACGACCATTAAATATTCCATTAGATAATAAAGATGCTTTGGTGCGTTTTGAAAACACATTCTTGTATTGTGCGTAACGACTCGAATATCTTTTCTTTTAAATACTATGGAAGAGTTAACGGCTAAAACACTAGTAAAAGAAACAGCAGTTTTCTCTTTTTCTATATACATTGTACACATTGATGTTCTTTCTCTTTCTATTATACGCATTTTTTTCTTTTATAATGAATATCGACAATCCATTAAACAGAAATTCAAGAATGAACGAAAACCATTACAAAAGATCAATGCACAAGTTCAACGAAATAAAAACAAGTTTGGTAAAGGTCCAGGAAGACCAGTAAAAAAAAACTGGTTTAGTTTCAGCCAAGAGAAAGACTGAAAAATTGGTAAGTTATTTTCATTTTCTTTCTTGAATGTCTTTTGAATTATACAATGTATTTTTTTCTTTCTCTTCCAGATGTTTATTGGTCGATTAGATGATGAACAAGATATGTTCAAGCTTAATCAGATGTTAAAAGCTGAATTTAATAAACAACCAGTCGACATGGGAGCAATAACATATTCTTAGAGAAAAAAATTTACTTATCGACGGTTATTCATACGTAATAATGTTATTAAAGAAGTTTTGTTGGAGTATCCGGCTTATTCGTTGCCACCTTTGGTAAGTTGTATGCAAATTTTGTTATCATCAGCAATAATTCATCTTTTACCTTTTCAGGTTTTCGAAGAACTACGAATGACAACTAATACAGATATTGCACGTAATGTAGAATTATTTTGCGTGTGTTATTTGAAAAATTACCGGATAATTCTATGTTTATATCATAGATGTCCATGGCGGCGCGGAAGCGGCAGATTTTTCAATGTATCATCGCGGTAGCGGTGCGGCAGCGGCAGGTTTCTGAGATGACCATAGCGGTAGCGGTGCGGCAGCGGTTGATTTTTGAAAATTTACTATTCTTCTATGAAGTTTTGTAATAGTATAAAAAATGGCTACAGCCTCATCAATCGCGTACAAGTTAGATATTCTTACATTCGCAGAATCGTGTGACTATTCTATACATATGAAAATGTTCCAATTATGATTAATTTTAAAAATCAAAAATATCAGATATATCAACAAACAAATCGATTGATTATATTCAACCCTAGTACGAATGGAAATTCAATCCGCCTTTTTAGACAATGCATATATTAGCTATATGTATAGAGTACAAACAGAATAGATTTTTGGTTACTCACTGAATGCTTATTATTCAATTGAAGCTCTAATTGATTCATGATTGTCACCAATTTCGTCACATATCAAGATTTGACGTGAAAATTCATACCAATTTTATAATGCATAACGATATTTTTTATTAGAGAATACAGAACGAGCTCTAGGCCATATTATTAAAGAAGTGGCTATATACACTCAAGTGCATATAGCCGTGTGGCTATGTACACTCAGGAAGCTATAATCCATTAAGTGCCAAATATAAACTTATATTACATCTGTGACAGCTCCACCTCATGACAGCGGGAGCTTTTAGAAGCGTTTCTGCGCATGCTACATCCATGCCTGAAGATGCTAACAAGATTCCTGAAGTTGCTACAACACTACTTGAAGATGCTAATATGGTTTCTCAAGTTGCTAGAAACCTGCCTGAAGATGCTAAAATCATTCACGAACTTGCTACTAGCATTTCTCAGGTTAATACTAAACTTTGGTGAGGACCCTACTAGCATTCTTCGTGATGTGAATAGCATTCATGAGGTTGCTAATGGCATTTGTGTCAGTAATTTTAGAATACCTAGACAGGCAAACCGTAACCTCAGGCATGTAAGTAGCATCCTCGGAAACGTTAGTGGCATCCTCAGGAATGACGAATATTATGCTAAAGGCATTGCTAGGATAGCTATTAACATTCCTGAGGATGCCACTAATGTTCCCGAGGATGTTACTTACATGCCTGAGGTTACGGTGTGCCTATCTAGGTTTTCGAAAATTACTGACACAAATGCCATTAGCAACCTTATGAATGCTATTCACATCACGAAGAATGCTAGTAGGGTCCTCACCAAAGTTAGTGGCAACCTAAGGAATGCTAGTAGCAAGTTCGTGAATGATTTTAGCATCTTCAGGTAGGATTCTAGCAACTTCAGGAAACATATTACCATCTTCAGGTAGGATCTTAGCAATTTCAGGAATGATTTTAGCAACTTTGGGAAACATTTTAACATCTTCAGGCTGGTTTCTAGCAACTTCAGGAATTATTTTAGCAACTTCAGGCAGAATTCTGGCAACTTGAGGAACCATATTAGCATCTTCAAGTAGTGTTGTAGCAACATCAGGAATCTTGTTAGCATTTTCAGGCATGGATGTAGCATACACAGAAACGCTGCTAAAAGCTCCCGCTGTCGTGAGGTGGAGCTGTCACAGATGTAATATAAGTTTATATTTGGCCCTTAATGGATTATAGCTTCCTGAGTGTACATAGTCATGTGGCTATGTGCACTTGAGTATACATAGCCACACGGCTATATGCACCTGGGTGTACATAGCCACTTCCTATTATTAATAACGTCGCGGCAGCGGCGCGGTAGCGGTAGGTTTTTTTTTTATTAGTCGCGGCGCGGCAGCGGCGCGGTTACGTTTGCTTTCAGTGCGGCGCGGCAGCGGCGCGGTGGTTTTTATTTTTTGGAGTGTCGCGGTGCGGCAGCGGCAGCGGCAGATGTTCTGCCGCGATGGACATCTATGGTTTATATCAGTTAAAATAATATTTAACTAGTTAAAATGATGTTCGCAGTTGGTTCCCTGATTTTTTTTCTAGGTGTTTTACCAATCCGGGTGATAAAACTGCTATATCAGTATTTCCAGGATCCTGTAACATATGTTTTAATTGAAAAAGTAATATTACATTTATTTATATTTTAAATTATATAAGAAATATAACACAAATACTGTTTTATTAATCTTTCAAAACTTCGAAATTTATCGTATTTATTTTTTTCCTTCTTTTAGGATCCAATGATACCTGCTCCTTGTATTAAAATGCTAAATGCTAAATATGAGCTGTATCTTGATTATCAGCTCATTGAACAAACAACGTCTGCTCAAGAGGCAATATCAATTCTACTTTGTTTATATAATATTTTCGAAAT